GTTGAGTGTATCGGTTAAGTTATATTCGGAAAGAATAAACAAGTTTTATTAAGTAAAGGCTTGTGTCGCTTATGTTTCGTCGGTACGAAGTTACGGAAAATCAATTAAAAACGGAGACGTAACAGTATCAATAAAATTATTTAACAAAATGGGGTATGGTCATCACTAGTTTTCAGGGTGTCACACCATTCTAGAAAGCTAAGCATAAGATTATGACGTGTACCATGGCCATCTTTGTATCTCTCATATACTTTTTTCTGCAATGTGAATAATGCAGCTGCTATTAACTGATTGATCCATTTTACTCTGGATATATTTTATCCTTTCTGGATGTTAGCAGCTCATCCTACAGTTACAGCAATAGGGTGGTCAATGCAGTCAGCTATCCGCTCCCATCCAACCCGTTCCCAAGCTCTTTCAAAACTGACATTTCTATGTGCTGCACTTCCATTAGAACTACATACTTGCCTTCTCCTTAAATATTTGGTCAAGCCTAATGGATCTATTTGGCAAGAACATACTGTGGCTGTTCAACTTTAAGTACTCGAACTAGATTAGGACTTTTGAGTGGGGAAGCATCTCTGATAATATCCATGTTTGCTATTTCCATGGAATGTGCTTCCTCATGGAACAACAGATGGAAAGCAGAAATGATAGGGGATCGTAAATCTAATATATGTGCTTCCTGGCAGAATAGTTAGACCACGGTATGTAATTATTTGTTTGTTATGGATTTCGCGCAAAGCTACACGAGGGCTATCTGCGCTAGCCGTCCCTAATTTAGCAGTGTAAGACTAGAGAGAAGGCAGCTAGTCATCACCACCCACCGCCCATTCTTGGGCTACTCTTTTATCAACTAATAGTGGGATTGACCGTCACATTATAACGGCCCCGTGGCTGAAAGGGCGAGCATGTTTGGTGTGGCGGGGATTCGAACCAGCAGATTGCGAGTCGAGCACCCTAACTACCAGTTAGACAGTTAGCCATTGCTCCTACCCGCTAAAGCCGGATTGTATCTATCCATACTGAGCTTTCTAAAAAAAATAATAACGTAGTTTATATTTACGTGCTCTGACCACTAAGAGTAAGACATCATATACTATGCCTTTTTTTTTTGTAACCTATATCTCTTCTACCAAAGACAATCATTATATTATATATTTATAGCAAACTTTACTAACATTTACATCAAACCACAATTTCAACTTTTAGTTATAAATAAAATAATTTTTTTAGACAATCACGCTATTTTCTGTACGTATTTTTCACAATAAGCGTCAAAGAATTCTGGCCTTGTGAAGGATAACCACTTCAATTTATCGCCTTTTCACCGAATTATAGTGGTGTCAGAAGTCCAACTCTTGTCTTTAACTCTTGATATGGAAAAATCGGAAATTAACTAAATTAGGCTTCTTAATCTTATAGTGCTAAACTGTATATTATATATATGGTGTTTTTTCAGCTGTTCTTCACTCACCACAATGTATTTTTAAGGTATACTAAATTGTTGATAACTTAATGTCTGCTTGGCTACAATATCTTTTAAATTTTGGAAATTTTAACATTAACGCTGTTTGTTTTGAATTTCGCGCAAAGCTATACGAGGAGCTATTTGTGCTAGCCGCCCCTAATTCAGCAGTCACAGACCGCCAATTCGTGGGTTACTCTTTACTAACGAATAGTAGGATTGGTCGTCACATTATAATGCCCCATGGCTGAAATGGCGAGTATGTTCAGCGACTGGAATTCAAACCCGCATATTGCGAGTCGAGCGCCCTAACCACCAGGCCCCATTAATGCTGTTCGACCTCCGTTATACACTGTAGTGGGTTTTAGCAGGGTTATAGTATTCATTGCACTATAACATTATATGATCCAAATTATAATTTTCTAATGAAGACTGTTTAATAATATAAAATCAAACAAAATGACATTAATAATTTTAGAATATCATACATCACGTTCTTCTATTGCTTCATTCCGTTTTGAGTTTAAACCAATATAGATATGAGAAAAAGCCCAATGTTATGCTGTAATACAACGACCATTGCTTCATCAGTTGATGATGGCGCCTAATAATTTTGTTTAGTGTCTCAGTGTTGACAGATTTTTACAGTTTTTATAATCGAAAGTTATCTCAAAACTAGTCCAATTTTTCTAGAATCGAAGCTTCGTAGTAAATAAAAGGCACTGTCTGATGGATAGAATGCTCGACTCGCAAACTGCAAACTGTCAGTTCGAATCCAGTCACCAAACATGCTCGCCCTTTCACATGTGTGGCGTTATAATGCGATTGTCAATCCCACTTTTCGTTGCTAAAAGAATAGCCCAAGAGTTGGCGGTGGGTGTTGTTGGCTAGCTGCCTTCCATGTAGTCTATTACTTATAAATTTGGGACGGTTAGTGCAGATGGCTCTCGAGTAGCTTTGGGAGAGTTCAAAAATAAAACAAACAATGTGACAAACGAAAGGGCGACTTTCTTAGGAAGTGGAAGAATTATGAAAACTTTCAAATCATATATTTAACAATAAAAACTATTACAAATAAAAGACCACATACAATCATTTATAAATTTCTATTGGTACCTTATTTCTATATTTCAACATAAAAACCAAAATGTGTTTGTTATCTATATCACTCAAAACACTTAGCGAACAAAAGTACTGAGGGCAGGAATACTTTGCAATAAAAATCTTATATTACCTGTGTTGGTTACACTTACAGAGATAATATCGTTGATCCAAATATTAACATGCACATTTTTTATTTGTGTTTTAGTATAGAAATTATTAGTGTTACATCCTGTAGTAATACAATAGCTTGTGGATTTATCAATAAACGATGACTTTGTGGCACTGTATTCATACTCTACAGGTATGATGGAACAAAAGACTTGGTGTCGGCGGAATGTTACAGTTCTCTTTCCAATACCTGGCAGTCCATATGTAATATGGGATCCAAACGAAGTTGTCTAGGCATAACTTCTGTAAGTGGATTAATTTATGTGGCTGGGGGATACGACGGTGTTTCGTGTTTAAGCAGTGTGGAGCGCTATGATCCTTTAGTTGGAACATGGTCTTCTGTAGTTGCAATGGAAACCAGAAGACGCCACTGCAAATTGACAGTTTTGGGTAAGTCAATTTGTACCATAAAATCGCACATGTTAGTGAGTAGATTACGTTTTAAAGTTGGTTATTGTGTTTTAACCGCAAAAATTATATTTCTTTTCATGAGATAAAATCACATAGTTTCAAAATAATTAAGGTGACAATTAATGATGTCGTTAAGAGATCATTTATATTCGTAAATTAATGTCTAAGTATGTTTAACCAAGTTGATGTTATTTGTAAGTCAGTTACTCAGGCTGTTTACTTATAGTTTTCTGAGAGATAGGCTTGTTACGGTAAAATTCGGGGTTCAATCCCTGTGCAGCAAATCCGTTGTACAGCATTGCGATTAAATAAGCAATTGCCGTGAAACTTATGTTGAAAAATATATTTGGTGAAGAAATTTGAAAAACAAAGTTATCCATTCATAGTCATTTTACACTGACAAAAAACTTTTATGATTTCTTCTGATCGCCGAAATGATACCCAAATTTCCTTATTCCTTGAAACTTTCACGTTAGAAATGTTCAGTGACGGATCTATTACAGTCTCTGAATATGGGGCAAGCTTATCAGATTTCACAAAGAAAATGCTCGGCTAGCAAAACGCTGTCTGGAACTCCAGTAAAAGAGTCTTCATTTTAAAGAGTGTGACTTTCCTTTATTCTTGAGTATCGCCCAAACGTGCTCGAGGGCTAAATGCAATAATCGTCCCTAATTCTGAAGTAATAGACTGGAGGGAAGGCGGCTCGCCAACACCACCCATCGTCAAATGTTTGACTAGTCTAATCTAATAGTGGGATGTTCCTGTCACTCTCAAAGCACACCCACGGCCCCAAAGTGTGGAGAGTGGTTTTTTGTTTTCCGGTAACGGGATGCGAACCACGGAATCATAGCCCTGCACACTAGCCACTAGGCTGCACTGAGCCTAAATAGTATGAATTAAAAAACACGTTTTACAACTACTTGCGTGAAGTTATTTCGAGTAGTATTTGAAAGGTTTAAGTAAATATACCCTAGATGAAAATGTTTAAAATTTGTTAACTAACATATTCATCATGATTTTATTCTTATTCATTTTACCAAAGAGATGGAGTTAAATAAAACTTTAATAGCCATATGGCATTATTTATTCTTTTTTGCCCTCGGTATGTGAGATAATATTTGTGCAAGTGAATGATTTGTTTTAGTGTTTGCTTTCTTCTTGCCCTAGTCATTTTCCTAATTGAAGCTAACACTGTGTTCGCTGCATCCAGAGCTCATCAGACGAATATAGTTTGGTTGAAATACTATTATTATACTATTATAATTCTTGAAAATATCCAAGGGACTGGACAAAGAAAGTAGTGTTTAAAAATATAATATGCCTAGTAGTAATGTCTGATGACAAGTATAAGTAATAACGCCTTTTCGTTTTACAAAGTAAATTATAGGTACATAATCAGAAATTTATTAAATTGTTGTTTCTTGTTAATTCAAAGCTTTGCTGTCAAAAAATGATGGTGATAATATGAGGAATTCAGAGGAGAGGTGTCATGGTTGAAATCAGAGACACGAACACTAACATAAAACACCCAGCAGGATAATTCATAAAATAACGTTATGTTAAACTCTATTCGGAAAAAAAAATTGCTAACCGCTTATTTTAAAGCTAAGACTGAAAAAACAACAACTACATCTATTCATATCCGTAATCTTAATCATCATCCAAAACATTGACTCTTTAAGTGCATTCATAGCTAAACGTGAACTGCAAGACATAAGGGCCATAACGCATTAATTCAACGTGTAGCCAATTATAACGTAGTTTTCAAATACATGTTGCAAGCCAAGATTTCGATTACACGTTGAATCAATGCATTATAACCTTGTGATCATTAACCAACTGAATATACTGAATCAATGCATTGACTTGGGCCAGTACGTTATGGTACTGTTGACTGGCGATATACAAGGAAAAGACATACTGATTCGATGCCCAGTCGAACTTTACAACAAATAGTTAGTATTGAGTTCACATGGCGATAACCCATTGATTCAATGTGTAGTAGAAATTGCGTTTAACTATCTGACTTCCTTCTAATACATGATCAAATCAGTGTTAGGAACGTCTGTATGCAGGTAGCTCTTTCTGTAGCTTTGCATGAAAACAAAAAAGGATCCATAGTTTGAGCACCCCTGCTTCCCAACTGATGCAAAGAAGGCTCACTCACGAAGCCACAGGGCAGGGTCATAAGAAAAGAGAGGGTTAGATTTAATTTTTGCTGTACTACTTGTTAGATATACACGACTGTTCATTTTAAGTTTAATACAAAAGTATTATGTAGTTTATATTGTGCATGCATTAAAGTAAGTTATTTTTAGAAGCAATAGTTATAGCAAGTTTGCTTACGTAACTGTTGTGAATTGACTTCATGTTACTCGAACCTTCTGAATTTTTCTCATCGCTTTAAGTGAGTATTGTTACATCATAACATCTCGTGGTTTGTAGAAAGTTCTAGGCCCCAGCCGGGTAGTATATATAAGTTAGTGAAAGTAAAAGTGAAAAAAGTGACGTTAGACTGTGTGTGATTTTATCCATAACGAACGATTTCTAAATTGAGTTTCACAGTTTGTATTGTAAAAACAGAGATAAAGGAGGATAGTTTGTCTTGTCAAAGCGTGTTCTAAAGTAATTGAACCCGCCTGTGTCGTCTTCGACAAAAAAAGAGACAATTATTTAAAGCTCTCGATACAACTGTGATAACCAACAGTGTAAAGAATTTTTGTACATATGTTTGACTTGTTTTGAATATATTATTTCAAAACAAGTGGATTGTGTGCTGTCTATTTATTGTTGAAATTTATCGTCAACAAGCACAGACACCTACTGTAAAGAATTCAGCCCTATAAAACCTGACACTACTTAACGTGACACTTCAGCAGATCGATACAAGCTAAAATTATTCATGTAAATTCATTTAAAAGGAAAAAATCAGTAACAATTGTAGCTCATTAAGAGGAATGTGAGTCATACATGCAGAAATTTAGCTTGGTCAAGTTATAACATAAATAGTCATAAGCACAAAATTTTCACCCACCCCCCTGGTGGGAGTGCGGGGGCTTAGGTGAGACCTAACTCGTAATTCGTTGCTACAATAAGCTAGTGGAATCTCACGAGTATCAATTTCGTTACCTGCATTTTGGTCTTTTAATAGACCAGGGAGGGTGAGGTACAAAAGACCTCTTCCTCCTTTCCGAACTATGAGGGTCAGAGTACACCGCACTTGCTCCGATCTCTTTCAGGACAATGTCCACGTAGGTATCTTCATTTACATTCGTGTGTTGTGCATAACATCACTTAATTGTTGTAAAGTTTTACACTCGGCGAACAGTTCCATATATCCGAACAACACATTTCATACGTTTGAAACTAATATAATACATTTTACATCTATTTGTTTTAGTCCAAACTAGTGTAGGGTTTAAAGTCTAGTAATAGGTGGACTTATTAGATCCCTATTTCTAAAATATATGTTTACAGGTGAGAGGTACTTAGGTCTACTTCCATCATGTATGTAGTAGCGATCAAGTTCACAGAGTAGGTCATTATTTTGCTAATATTTCTCAAAGTAATTTAGAGTATTATGCAAGAGTCTATCCGCTATAGTTTGTGGGTTTGCATAACTGTGCATAAATTTTAATGAAGTGCTACGGGAGACTTTATATGCTGTGGTAATTAGTGAGTTTTGTGTAGATTGTAGTTTATTTGTGTGTTTGGGAGCTATGTTTACCCATGCGGAGCATGCATATCTTATGATGGAACGTATATATTTGTTTGTTTGAAATTAAGCACAAAACTACACAATAGGTTATCTGTGCTCTGCCCACCACGGGTATCGAAACCCGGTTTCTAGCGTTGTAAGTCCGCAGACATACCGCTGTGCCACTGGGGAGGGGGGCGTATATATATGTTTTGTATATTTTTATAATGTTCTCAGGTGATGTTCCCTGTTTTTTGCCTGTTAAACTTCTTGCATAATTTATATGTTTCCAGATTTTTGTTAAAATATTATTCTTATGCTTTACCCACGTTAGTTTCGGGTCGAAAGTTAATCCTACAAATTTTGCAGAGTTGTGGTCTGGAGAAGTGTTCCATTCATGTATAATTTAAGTGGGTCTTTTTTATGTTTTGTTAATCTTGTGAAAGTAAGTAACTGGTTTTTAGGAACGTTTATTTTTATTCGATATTGTTGGCAATACTCTTCTATATCAGTTAATAATGGTTGTAGATTTGTTGCTGCTATGGATGGGGTGGGGGCACTTTTCCAAACCGCAACATCGTCCACGAACTGTGATGCAAACCCGTGATTAGGGTCTTTTAAAGGCATATTGCTCACATTCATGATTATTAGAATAGGGCTAGCTACCCCCTCCTTGGGGGGACGCCTGCCTCTGAAGTGAATGACTCAGAGTAGGTTCCCCTGACATTTATTTTGCAATTTCTATTTTCCAAAAAGTTAGCCAGCGAATAATCACCTGCGGTAGTTTCATATCCATCATGCGTAACCTAAGACCATTGTGCCATACAGTGTCGAAAGCTTTCTCGACATCGAGAGAGCAGGCAACAGTGCATTCATTTTTATTAAAGCTATCTATAATTGTTTCTGTTAATCTAACCAAGTGATCTGTTGTCTGTCTGAATTTTCTATATCCATTTTGGATTTCTGGTAATTTTGAGGTTGCTTCTAGGTAATTTGAGAGTCTTCTGCTTATTATTCGTATTTTTCCTACAGCTGGTCAGGCTGATCGGGCGGTAGTTATTTGGTTTATTTGCTGGCTTTCCTTCTTTATGGAACATTAGTACGATTAGTGATAAATTGAAAAGTGCTGTAAGGTGTCCACACAGTCTCTGAGTGCCTTTTTTTTATAGGAGGATAGCCTGTATGCGGTATTCTCCTGGTGCTTTGTTTTTAGTGGCTTTTATAGCTAGTTTTACTGTGATTGTTTTAGTGAGTGGATATGTGATTGTGTTTTCTGTTTTAT